TGAAAATATGAAAAAGTGATTGATGACTATATCTTATAAATTTCATAATGCATAATATGTGATATGTATACACAGTGATTAGTTACAAGAACTAAGCTTAGTTTTAGAAATGAAAAAAATATATATATTACAATGTTTTTATTAAATGAAGTTTATGATAATATAGCACAATTATTAAAAACGTTAATGATAACGCAACGCATTTAGTCAGATTATATGTCCCAGCAATGGAATTTTTACATCGGAAAAATTTTTCGTTTTCAATTTTTTCGCATTATTAATATTTGCTTTAAATTTTCTAATCTTTCTATTAGTGGAAAGCTACAATTATGCCTTTCTATTTCTTTATGCGCTTACAATAGTTCATTTAAGATTAAATGCTTTTTTTTACAAATACTAAAAATTTTATTTTTTAATTTCTGCATTTTAGTCTATGAGGATTAATTTTGAATGGAACAATGAAATTTTCATGCAATATTATTTTGGAAATGTAACCATTTTTTAAAATATTTTAACGAATATGTATGTTTTAAAAGTAAAATAGCTTTTAAGTTTTTTTTTTTGTAAGTTTTCTTTTTAAAGATGTGCCTGCAGCACTACACTAACAGAGAAACACCACTGTATTTATCTAATCTGATATTTTTCGATAATTACAAAATTAACGTTTTCAGAAAAAAAACACTAAAATCATTACTTCACTGATTTGACGAAAATATAAAAAATGATTGAAGATTAAATCTTTTTTTTTCAGGATGAACATAAAATGCCACATATTACAAGTATATGCTGTAAATTATTTATTTTGAATGATTTTGTGCTTTTTTCTACTATATCAGATTTTGATTACAGTATTGTGAACACGAGATTTTTGCTAATTTCCTATAATCGACATTTATATCTGACAGAAAAACAGCAATTAAACATGAATCTTAAAAAATAAATAATAGACATTTTAATTTATGGATTATTTTGAATCATTAGTTCTTATTTTTAAAATAACTAAATGTTTTTCGTCATTTTTGCAAAACTCTATCTAGCACGCATATGATTAAATAGAAATTAAACACATTGTCTTCACTATTGATTCGTTACTATTGATGAGTACACTGTTTTTATTTGAAAGGATTTCTTTGAATTTATCCTATTATATCCAGAACTGCTGGGAAGTTCACAAAAAAAGAATGGATATAAGTTGATGTGATATAAATAAAATAATCCTTCAACAGTCGTAATTCTTACGCATGATTGTCTGATTTAGAAAATCCCTCGGAAATTGCTTTCTATCACTCAATTAATTCTATTGTTTTCTAGTCCTGGTTGATTTTTGCATGGAGATAGAGAAAATCAATAACTTTCTCTAGAGCATCTCGATATGATTGATGTCAGGAGTGAGGACAGGCGTTCGAATCCAGCCGGCCGTACAAACTTCCCGTGTAGTAAATGGTGACTGGTGCACGTTAAATCTGCCGGTCACAAAGTCCTCCACGTTCCTATAATAAATCAGTACTTCTGGGGGTACTGAATTGGCCATTGATCGTTATCTGGTTAAGGTCAAAATTACGACCTGCGGATGAATAAATGGGTTCCTCTTTTAAACGGGTGTGGCAGAAGTCGAATTCCTGTCCATAGATGGCGCCTCTAAAAATAAAAACAATCACACCCCCACTGCCTTAACGACCGACGATATCAACAACATTGAGGTTTAGAGGTGGAAAAGTTTCACTTTCCTGAAGTCCATGAACAAAATTAGCTTTATGCGATTGCCCGTTGCCATGTATGAAAATAAAATTACGGTTCATTCATGTGCAATGCAACTGTTGAAAAATCATTTTATTTAATTTCAAAATTTTTTTTTCGTACCAAATTTTATTAAGGGGAGTTCGTAGGGCTTATTGCAATAATGCTAAAACCGACCTTTTTTTCGTTGTTCCTTTTCTAAAAAACTACCAGCGATATCGCTTTGAAATTTTTTTGGGGATATTTGAGATTATATTAGTCGTATGCTATGATAGTGTTTCCACGTTAACAGGAAAACTTTTTGAGTCATGAAAGATTTTTGATGAAACTTTTTTTTTAAAAAATTAGAAGATCTCAGTTCATATTTTTTTTTTTTTAAATTCTGCCAAAGATATGAATTAATTGTTATCACATTGTAAACATGTATGTGTAAATATTCTGTGAAAAAGGAAACTGAAGCAATATCTTGATTAGATGATGAGAAAAGGTACATCTAAAAAAGTCAGTTTCAGCGTTATTGGTATATGACCTACAGACTCTCCTTAAAATTTATTCAGTCTAGAGGTAATCGAACAATATGAAATTCTCTTAAATCAACACCAGTATACAATTTAAACAAAATATCTCAAAATAATAATACTTTAAATAAACTAACGATTACACATCAAAAAATAAAAAACCACGTTATAAATCCTACATTTTCATACACAAATTCACCATTCTTTACATATTTTTTACACAACTGTATATATATTTATCAATATATTATTTCACAATTCTTTATAACACACAACAATAATAAAACAGATTTTTTCACAAGTACAACTTAATATTTGAATTAGGAGGATGCATAAAATATTTAATTTTTACAAACAGATACCACTTTGTTATTTTCATGATATTTATTTAAATTTTAACTAACCCTTTCTTAAATACTGTTGTTTCTGTGAAGTGCAGTTTTAATAGATGTTCATGAATTACTTTTGTGTTTTGAAGAAGAAAAAACTATTTGAAGGCAATTTATTTTTAATTATTTTTTTTTCATTGTAAATTTCTTTGGTCTAGCAAGGCAAACCTTGTGAAGATAAGTCATTTGCTAGTAGACAATATTAAGGGGGGGGGGGTAGTGTTTGTTATTTACAAACCTCAACGTTTTTCACCATAAGTCTAATGCATTTAAAAAAGGGTTAGGATGATAAAATCAATTACATATGTGTATGAATTATCAATACAACATTTAACATTTCTGACACAAAACAAATTGTAATTGACTTAAAATTATCAATTTACTTTTTTTTATCTTTCTTTTAAAAAACAATAGCATTATCTTTGAATAAAGTTAATATATATTTCAACTTTCCTAAATAGTTTACAACATTTCACATATATCTTTTTATAAGTATACAGGTTATGAAATGGCAGTGTTAAGCTTATCATCTTATGAGTCAACTATCATCTTATGTTACACTCCTTTAGCTTCTCTCATAATATCAATAGAGTTGCCTCAGGTTCATTAAATCTGGCAATGTGCACATTATACTCATTTCAGGTGTTTCACAGGAGATAAACCTGTTTTTAAAAGTGCGCCTACATTTACTACCTTCTAAATACCATAAAAACATTCTTATTATATAATCGTAAAAAAAAAGAATAAAAAATATTATACGGATTTTTTTTTAAAATATCACCTAATATATAGTTATTTAAAATGAGTAAATACTATTTACGTTAATTAAAGACAATTATATCTCTATTTCTAAATTTATTTACCTTAGTAGCAATAATTTTATATGTAATATTCAATTTTATATGACAAATGTGTTGAGAATCTTAGCTGAATGATAGATTAAGGGAACGTTATCAATCAATATCTTACCGACATGGGCCCCATATAGAAATGTCAGATTCGCTGGATGCTTAATAGTTATTATTCAGTCCGTATCTGGCTTCAGATTTCTCTCATTCAGTCTAAATAGCACCTATTTTTAATTGTTTTATAATGTCTAGGATGATTGAGTCAAAATCTAGGTTTTCCAACCTAAGTCTATCGACGAATGCTCTCTTACTAACTTGATTGAACAGAATTTTTACCCTACAATCAATATTATCAATCGATATTTCGCCTGGATGGAATTGCCTGATTGATTCGATACTTAATATAAGTTTCTCAGTCCATATTTGGGTTATATGGACTTGTTCAATTCAGTCAAGATAGGACCTATGTTTGGTTGTTCGATTTTATGTAGGTCGTTGTGGCAAGATTTACGCTTTCCAATCTAGGTTTATCGTTGCATAATTTTGTCAATCGGTTGAGTCTATTTACCAAGAAAAAATTGCTCCTAAGGTAAATGATTATTTATGATGGGTTTTTAAATTGTTGATTATTTTAAGTCGTCGTCATGAAAAATGTAACATTTAAATAATTTAATAGAAAGGTATATAATTTCGATTAAAAAAACTAAACAGCAGTTTACTAAAATTAGTGATGTCTTTCATTATAAATTATAAATATTTTAATTTAGTTTGCTCTAAAAAATTATTCTCCATTCATTTTTATAATTTTTTTGGTTTATTCGATAATTGGGCAATTTTCTAAATTAAAATTTAGAGTGAGGATTACATTTCATATAGTTTCTTAAGTTTAATGTTTTGAACATTTAAGTTACAAATAATTTTATTGAAATCATAGTTGAACTAAAAATCGTAAAAAAGAATATTTGTCTAACAAATATCAGTGTTTAAAACATATCCAGAGATGTCAACTTGCTCCAGACAGCGGATAAATATTTTCGAATGGTAGTCTTTTAATGTATGTTTCTTGCTTTAGTAGATTTGATTTATAGCTATTTTACTCACCACTACTTCTGAATAATTCTACGGCTTATGTGATAACGTCTCTTAGTTACAGTATAGCCGTGTTGAGCTAAGAGCCGTGTTGATTAAAAAGATGACAAAATAGTCAAAAATCTGCAGATTTAAAATTTTTAGTTCTCTACTGTTTTTCAAAATAGTTTGTAGAATCTGGAACTGTTGTTATATCTGCACATTGACACAGTAAGCATAAACTCGATTTGAAATTACAAACCTTAATTTCATTGTTTCATTTCGTATCATTATGAAAATCTGAAATATCTGTAACTATTACATTTTGTATTGGTAACTAAAACATCGTGTATTTGTAACTGTAACATTTTGTATTTGTTAATGAAAGTAAACAAAAACTGAGTTGAGAAAGTTTGCGAAAAAAAATGACTACTGCCTGCCTCATTTCGCAAATTTTCAGTTACTGTTTTAATTTATACGAAATTTTTCCCTTACTGTATTTGCATGCAGTAAATCTCAGTTAAGGCTGGATGACAATTTTTATGAACACAATTCTACAGCATTTCTAATTAAATTTCCTAAAACTAAAAAAAAATTGCTGGAATTTCTGGTTTACGTGTTTACAACTTACGTTTTTTAGAAGTGTCCAAAATAAAAAAATGAATTTAGAATAAATGTATCTATGATTAGGCTGTATAAAAATTCCAGGTTAACTTGGCATTTGACGAAACTCGTATACTTTATTTTCTCCTTCTATGCGTATCTCCAGCGGATCTATCAAAGGACTGTTACTTTAAGTTCATCCAAGGATGTCCGTCTTTCAGTCATTTTAGGATTGCTCATGTCTGACATTGCCGATTCTCGTCCTGAGTAAGACATTTGGCTTTCTTGACATCGCAGAAGGCTTAAAAAATAAATCATATAATAATAAGTTAGAATATTATTTTTATCAAACATCAATAATAAGAATAGTTTGGTAAATAAACTCTAAAAATATTCCATCATAAGGTCACAGTGGATCAAAGCATAGAGTGTTCGCCTCTCAATGAAGGTGATCGAACCCCAACAATAATAGCTGGTCGATACACATTCTGCTACTGGCTCGCGTCGCCTACAGTGCTGACCTAAAGATATCCTCAGTGGTAGATGGATCATGGGTTAGAATCAACTTGACGTTGGACTAACAGTGGAAAGTTTTCACGTTTTTAATCCCCATATAACTCAAAGGAGGGTTAGTTCCATCAAAAACTGCTTCTCGAAAACTAGTCCGTACTGATGTCTGAGCCATGGGGTCCTTTATTTTATTGGTTTGGTTCAAAATTTCAAGGCTATGGCTCATTGTTTAATAGTGAGGAACATTTATGATCGTAAACCTAAAAAATGGGTATAAAGGGGTTACCCTTTCTTAAAAAAAGGAAGAAAAATAAATAAATAATAATTATTATAATTCTCTATCTTAGTAAAATATTTCTTCTTATCCTTTTTTTAAACTATCAGACTTTCTTGTTTTGGATTCAATTTCAGGCTTTTGATATATTTCATTTTCTAAAAATTATATTTAAAAAAAATAATTTTCTTCTTTCTTTTTCAAAAAAAAAAAATTATAATTCTCTATTATAGTCTAGAATTTTTCTTTTCTTTTCTAAATGTCCCTTTTGTTTTTCTTCAGAGTTAGAATGAGAAGTGTTTTCAGCTTCATTTTCTATTCTCTGTATAAGCCATTTATTCTTGTTGTAATTTTATGTGTTTTATGTATGTTTAACGTATGTTTTGTCTGTAGAATGCATGTTCTACTCTCGTGTGCCCTTGAATAGGGCGGGTCGATATAAGAATAAACAACATAGGCGCTAAGAAAGAGCAATAAAACGGTTGTTCTAAAAACAACAGACGAACTTAGAAATTTAAAGATAACTGGAAAAAATAAAAATTGTGCTGCGTTCAACTCTAAAAATCTGAAGAAATATTCTTATCATGATTACTAGTTACAAAACTGTTCTACTGAGGGGGCCGGTGAACTGAGAAAGCTTCCAAATAATGTTTTCCAAGTAACTACTATCAGCAACAACAGAAAAGTGCAATCTGAGAACTAATTTAACTGGTGCCTAAGCAAATATATATATTTCAACATGGAATAATGTAAAATGTGTAAAAAAATAAATAAAAGACGTACTACTATGAATGTTTTCATCTAATGATTGAATTTTCATGTTCTATGACTCAATTTTAAAGGCTCGAAGGGCTGATCACAAATATGTTAATCAATTAGTGAAGACGATATTTTAAGTTACGAAATCAGACAAAAAACGTACTTTCTCGGAATGAACATATCTTTTTTTCGACGGATTAGAATTTTTGACCTCTAAAATACATGGGGTAGAAGGAATCTTTGACATATGGTCGCAATAGTTTGGACATGAAAGCGATCTAAAGTTTGGACCCCTTAATGTTAATTTAATGTTAATGTTATTTTCGCTTCGTGTTTCGCTCCATCTCGAGAATTTTCTAAGTGAATTGAAAATTTTTTGCACACAATTATAAAGTTTGTTTCTTAAAGATAATTCCCTACAAAAAAAGAATTTTAGTGAATGTTTACTATTTTTTATTATTTTATTTAGTAATAGTCCAAAAAAATTTGAATTGAACGATATACAATTGCCTACATCACTTTGATCGAATGAACTGGGCAGCTCACATTTTCAGAAGGAATGATGACTCAAATTTAAAAAAAAATCCTGTTACACAAACCCCTAACGAACAGGAAAAGAGGTAGACCCAGGCTGAGATGGTTGGATTTAGTTGAGACTGATTTCCTTACTCTAAAGGAGAAAAACTGGCGAACAAGTGTCAAAAGTAGAGAGAAGTGGATTCGAATTCAAAAGAAGGCAATGGCCCACCCTGGGCTGTCTAGCCAGATATGATGATGACATCACTTTGAAGTGCGTAATTTTACATGGCAAAATACAAAATCGGTAAAATTGTTCCTGAGAAATCGAACTTTAAATAAGTGTAGTTTTAAAATTCAATTTCTCAGGAGCTTTTTGACTGATTTCACTCAAATGTTGTATTTTTCCAAGTAAAGTTACGTTCTTCAAAATTATGTGAAAAATTGCGTACCTTACAATTCAAAATATTTTTCAACTAATATTAAATAAAATAATTAAAAAAAAATAGTTATTTATTAAAAGTTATTTTTTGCAGGGAATTATCTTAGAATAGATGAATTTTATAATTGTGTACGAAAAACTTTCAATTCGCTCGAAAAGTTCATAAGATATGACAAAACAAGCAAAAATAAAATTAAGGGGTCCAAACTGATATTTTGGGGATCAGAAATCTGAATTCGTCGAAATTTTTTTTTTTTATCTGATTTCGTGACTTGCAATATCATTTGCCCTTATTTAATTAGCATATTTGAGATCACTTCCTCTAACCTTTAAGAGTGAGTCCTAGAACTTGAAAAACCTATCAAAAGTCATTAAGATAATCCGTTTTTTTTTATTTTATCTCACGCCCAGAAATTATTTTTTATAGTCATCAGCGCCATCTGTAAACGAACTCTAATAAGCATCAAGATCAAATATTTGTTTCTTTGTCTGTCTAAGTATCAGCGAACTATGCGTGTCAATTTCCCTTTTTCTGCGTTTTTTTAATTGTGTTGTTCATTTGAAGGTATTTTTGATTAACTATTATTAGCCATTTATAGAAGACATGATAGGATAGAACATATTGCCAACGAGTTACAATTCTTATGAATAAAACAAAATCAAAGCTAAACAAATCTGACATGCCGTAAAAAAAGAATAATTATTCTTTATTCATAAGAAAGTGTCACATGTCCATAAATTTCACGCATAGGAATAGAACACGCAATATTATTTAGAATTAATAGAGATACATATTTAGGATTATTAATCAGTCGTTTTATATTATAATTCAATTCTTCTTCTCTGATACACATTTTAGTAACTGCAAAACAAAGACTCTATAGAAACGTAGTTGAACGTCTAGCAGTAGCTACAAATGGATTGTCGTTGGATAAAATATGAAGTCTTTCAGTTAATTTTCATCCCGCACATTAGCAGGATTAATGAGGTCCCTAAAGATGTTTAAGTCATTTGCAAACTATAAGTTCCTAAAACAGCTTCTAAACAAGAAAACAAACATAGTGATCTGTAAGAAGATAAATTGTCTAAACTACTAGGCCAGACTTTAAAAGTTAAGTTAGATGAATTCATGGTATTGACAAATTATTTTTTATAAAAAGTTTATTCTTTCAGAAACATTGATGAACTTTGGGTAGTACACAAGTTCTTTTTAAAATGCAAGGAATAGCGAAAAGATGAAGTAATTACACTAATTAGGGTGCTAGAAACTAAATAAGTGACTCTAAATATGCTACATGTTAATGGCAACGAGTTAACATCATAACAAGTTATATGAAAAAAAAATTAAAATAAATTCCTACAAAGATCAACAAAGAAAAATTTTATTTTAGTTACTTTTTATAAAATAATAAAAAACATTTCCCCCCATATCGAACTAATATGAATAAATTAAATTTTATTAATGTTTAAAAAAATATGTAATTGAATTTGAGTGGATGAATGAAAAGTATTATATTAACAATTGAAAATTTGAACAAGTTATAGTTAGAGTGTAAACTAATAGTACGAAATGACAAATAGAATTCAAAATTGAAAAGTTTATTGTAAACTCTCTCTCATAATTTGCGAAGTATTTGTCCATATTATTAATGTTTATATCACTTAAGTAAGTATTAAGTTTATTAAATGTAAGTCACTTGTATTTGGAAATTGCTGGGGAATTTACCACATACTTTGCCAGTGCGACTTTCACTACATCCGTAAAGTCAGACCCGCTTTGAAGTTTAAACGAAAGAGCACGATACATATGTCAGTTATGAAGAATGTGATAAATCATCTATTACCGCGCATTTTTTGCTCTTTGGCTTAAATTCAATTTCGATAATGCCAATATAAATTCTGCACACCCTGTCACATCAGCTCATATTGTCCGTGAATTTTGTTTCTTGATATGAATTCCCATTCCCTCGTTAATGACATGAGTTCATTGGCAACTCTACATAGCGCGTGGAAATACATTTTTTCCTGATTTGCCTCTTTCGACTACTGGGGTTTTTCTTTTTTCCCTTTTTAAAAAAAAATATTTTCAACCTCCGCAACTGTGGTTTTGGTCGCATTGTTTTTCACTTGTATTTTCCATCCTTTATTGCTAATGTGTATTCTAGCAATTCTAGCAATTCAAAAGCAATTCTAGGATAAGTAATCTTAAATGTATACATATTTAACGCTTTCAACAAGTCTGTGACAAACACTAAAAAGTGACAAGCTTTAAGTTTAAACAATTGGTTTACTAAGATGTATAGACCCATGCATTCGATTTTATTTCATTGCATGCATCATTTTACTTTGTAAGTAAATTTTAAAGTAAGTTTAAGGAAAATTAAATGTAAAGCGAATAAATACTACATGCAGATGTTATTATTAAGTACATTTCTACGTACCTAAATATAGGGGATTCCGGAAATGCTGGGTTGACTTTTCCATTACCTGGATTGCTCCTAAAATATTTATTATTTATTCATCAAGCTTGGAGGTATAGTTAAAATATTTAATTTTTTTTTCATTTATACATAATATATAAATAATTATAAAATTTCCTACTTGATAATAAAAAACTAAAAATTGGACAATTATTAAGCATGAAAATTTATGATACGTGAATTAAAAAATATAAAAAAATGATTAATACATTCTGGGAATTTCATGGTCGTAATTATTCTGCGACTGCAGTTTTATTTTAAATTATCTACCAAGCAAAGATATCATTGTGTTATAAATAAAACCTTTTTTACTTGTGAATTTTCCAATTTGTAAAAAAAAAAAATACATAAAATGAATAAATATTTTTTTTTTGTCGTCTGTCTGTTTAGGCAGTGGGGGTGCAATTGTTCCTGTTTTTCAGTGGCGCCATCTATGGCCAGTAATTCGACTTCTGTCACGCCATTCACACAACTACAACCCGTTTATAGAGCGGGTCACATTCAAAAACAAAGGAGAAAGGATAGAACACACAGAAAGAGAAAGAAACATCCATGCCTTGCACGGGATTCGAACCCAGGACCTTTCTGATGCAGGGACAGTTCCTTGCCTCCTACACAGGCCGGTCGGAAAATAAATAAAGGAAATAACAGAAAACGGCTTTCGTATTCCAACGTCAAACATTTCATTGTTATAAAGTTTTTAAAGTGTTATTCTACGTATAACCAACTTACAAGGTCTTCTAAATCTGATTTGTATTCAAAAGTTTATATTCGACAGAAAGTTAAGGTTAAAACAAAGCTATTGGAGCATATTCACTTAGCCATAAAAATATCTGGTAAGCGTTTGTTAAACTCATGGGTAGGTAGGTATTTTATTTACGTTGCACTAGAACTGCGCAATGAACTGTGGCGACAGTCTGGGAAATAACCCTGAGGATGATTCGAAGAAATCTTATCTCAATACGGGAAGCTATCCTCAATTCAGAAATAGTTATAAAAGGGAAGAAACATATTTTCCAAATCTCTGTACCCATGGTTCTGCTCAGCGACCGGGCACAGGACTTTTGATTCCACAGATTTTACGAGCATGTATTTTGTATGCACTCGGTGAATTTTGTATGTACTCGGTGAATCTTGGTGGAGTCGAAGATCGAACTCCTGTCTGATTCTCTAACCACTGGACTACAACGTTCCTACGTTAAGCTTATAAATATTAAGAAACGGCATCACCGTATATCACAATATAACATAAAATTATGGATGACGGTCGATATTTAGAAAATATTGAAATGAAACCATTCATTAAAATAGTTTAAAAGACTGTCATGATTTTCATTTTTTCCCCTTTAATTTAAGTTTGTTTTATCTGTCATCTGTGGGAAATGTTTTAAACTAAAACTGGTAAATTTTAAGAAGAAGAGTTTATGTCATGCATTAAAAATTTTCGGCAAGATATTTATATATATTTTTTACTTTAACTGGTTTTTTTTCTTTCTATTACAAACTTTAAAAAATATTTTCTTTCTGGGAATTCTCATTTTTACCCTTAGTTTTAAGTGCTGCCATCTGTGGAAATATTAAAATAATATGAACTAAGAATGGGAAGCATAAAAATGATTGTCTTCCGTTAACGATTTTCACCACAATCATTTTTTTTTCTTAAAAAAAACCCTTATTGTTTTTCTGTTATAAACTATAAAAAAACAGCGAGGTTAATCTAAGGCATCCTGTATTTGGAGACAAGTTTCAAAGGGCTTACTTGTGGGGATTTTTACAGCAAGAGCAATTATGTTCGTCTGCCCAGTGATCAGCAGCGCAAGGAGGCATTATTGGCAGAACCGTTGGCTCATTCAGGAAGTTCTTGGTACGAGTTTCTGGCAGTGTCAGAGCTACCAGTCCCCCAAGTATCTGAAAAACTCCAATTAAGGCCATTGGTAAGCTGTGAAGTGTACGTCCCTACAATAAATAAAAATAAATGCAAAATTATATATACAAGATAATAATAAAAAAAATAAACGGGTTTTGTTTCATACTTGAATCACTCTATGCAAGGGAAAAAATATATTTGTTAATTTTTTCACTGGTATCACAAATTAATTAAATATATACTACTGAACAAATTTTCAAAACCAAGGTTTACTTAACATAGCCTGAACGTTTCGGAATAAAATTAGATGAATCAAAAATGTTTAGTTAAACACAGATTATATTGTAAAATATACCATTGTAAAATGTTAATTTTTAAGAGTAAAAAAAATAAAATTATTATTATCTTGTGTTTAATAACGTTGTGTTTAATCTATCTATATATATATTTCTCTTACACGGCGATAAAAAAAAGCCTCATTACAACTCTCCGAATGGCAACGCTAAAAAATCAACCAATAATTGCAGCTAAAAATGTCACATGCCAAATCTAGATTGGATGGCTCAACATATAGCGCTTCTAAAAACGGAAACTGAAATAACCAGAGTGTAAAATATTATGTGCTTATGCGCATCGTATTTTTTGTTAAATAATTTATTTATTATATATCAGTTTATAGATGGTAACGAGAAGAGTTTTGTGGTTGCTATGGTGACTAATTAGAAGGTAAATTGTTATTTTGAGTGAGTGTGAGATTTGTTTTTTGGAACTGCGATGCTGTAATTTTATTGTTTAGTTAATAAATCTTCCTTTTATATTAAACGTGATTATAGTTTCCTTAATTATTTGATTCGAAGTCCTTGGAGTTTTATTTGAGGTCAGTTTATTTTGTATTTTTTGACATGAGAGAGCATTCTCACCAAACGAGATTTCTTCCGAAATTCAATGTTTTGTTTATGCAGGGTTTTTCCATTGCAATTTCTCTTATTTAAATTTTTAATAGACTTAATTATAGCCAAAATTTTAACCTTTTTAAAGAGATATCAGTTTTAGAAATTTTATCTTAAGATTTTATACTATAGCACATTTCTAATAGGTTTAACGAATTACATGTCAT